TAATTAATTTGCATTTTATTGCATGACATAAGTATTTGATACATCAGAAAAGCAGAACTTAATATTTGGTACAGAAACCTTTGTTTGCAATTACAGAGATCATATGTTTCCTGTAGGTCTTGACCAGGTTTGCACACACTGCAGCAGGGATTTTGGCCCACTCCTCCATACAGACCTTCTTCAGATCCTTCAGGTTTCGGGGCTGTCGCTGGGCAATACGGACTTTCAGCTCCCTCCAAAGATTTTCTACTGGGTTCAGGTCTGGAGACTGGCTAGGCCACTCCAGGACCTTGAGATGCTTCTTACGGAGCCACTCCTTAGTTGCCCTGGCTGTGTGTTTCGGGTCATTGTCATGCTGGAAGACCCAGCCACGACCCATCTTCAATGCTCTTACTGAGGGAAGGATGTTGTTGGCCAAGATCTCGCGATACATGGCCCCATCCATCCTCCCCTCAATACGGTGCAGTCGTCCTGTCCCCTTTGCAGAAAACCATTCCCAAAGAATGATGTTTCCACCTCCATGCTTCATGGTTGGGATGGTGTTCTTGGGGTTGTACTCATCCTTCTTCTTCCTCCAAACACGGCGAGTGGAGTTTAGACCAAAAAGCTCTATTTTTGTCTCATCAGACCACATGACCTTCTCCCATTCCTCCTCTGGATCATCCAGATGGTCATTGGCAAACTTCAGACGGGCCTAGACATGCGCTGGCTTGAGCAGGGGGACCTTGCGTGCGCTGCAGGATTTTAATCCATGACGGCGTAGTGTGTTACTAATGGTTTTCTTTGAGACTGTGGTCCCAGCTCTCTTCAGGTCATTGACAAGGTCCTGCCGTGTAGTTCTGGGCTGATCCCTCACCTTCCTCATGATCATTGATGCCCCACGAGGTGAGATCTTGCATGGAGCCCCAGACCGAGGGTGATTGACCGTCATCTTGAACTTCTTCCATTTTCTAATAATTGCGCCAACAGTTGTTGCCTTCTCACCAAGCTGCTTGCCTATTGTCCTGTAGCCCATCCCAGCCTTGTGCAGGTCTACAATTTTATCCCTGATGTCCTTACACAGCTCTCTGGTCTTGGCCATTGTGGAGAGGTTGGAGTCTGTTTGATTGAGTGTGAGGACAGGTGTCTTTTATACAGGTAACGAGTTCAAACAGGTGCAGTTAATACAGGTAATGAGTGGAGACCAGGAGGGCTTCTTAAAGAAAAACTAACAGTTCTGTGAGAGCCGGAATTCTTACTGGTTGGTAGGTGATCAAATACTTATGTCATGCAATAAAATGCAAATTAAATACTTAAAAATCATACAATGTGATTTTCTGGATTTTTGTTTTAGATTCTGTCTCTCACAGTTGAAGTGTACCTATGATAATGAAAATCTTTGGAGGGAGCTGAAAGTCCGTATTGCCCAGCGACAGCCCCGAAACCTGAAGGATCTGGAGAAGGTCTGTATGGAGGAGTGGGCCAAAATCCCTGCTGCAGTGTGTGCAAACCTGGTCAAGACCTACAGGAAACATATGATCTCTGTAATTGCAAACAAAGGTTTCTGTACCAAATATTAAGTTCTGCTTTTGTGATGTATCAAATACTTATGTCATGCAATAAAATGCAAATTAATTACTTAAAAATCATAAAATGTGATTTTCTGGATTTTTGTTTTAGATTCCGTCTCTCACAGTTGAAGTGTACCTATGATAAAAATTACAGACCTCTACATGCTTTGTAAGTAGGAAAACCTGCAAAATCGGCAGTGTATCAAATACTTGTTCTCCCACTGTACTTTTAATAACCATAGGAGGTATTGACAATAGATAAAGAGTTGTTTCTCAAGCCTTACTGTTCGGGATTCCCCACTGCTGCATTCATGATATGTCATTCAACTTTCCAGCTGCAATTGAGCATGATGTATCCCCTAATTACAAGTAGAAACACACTTTGAGTTTTGCTTTCATCGCTTATTTACTTTTTTGGACTGCACTAGCTGTTACTTTACTTACTGGTTTACACACAGCAGGTTTCTAAGCCATTATATCCAATTGATTATCAGCGAATGTTTGTGCATGATAAGCATTGCAATCAAGCCAAATCCTTACCTAAGGCTAACTGTAATAATGAATGGATGACAACAGACTTGGCTGTATTAAGGCTCAGGTTGCTCTGGCTACAACAACACCTGCCGGCCAGCCATAAGCCTAATCCTCTCTGACAACCATGGTACGAGTGATTGATGTTCACGATGCATATGATAGTGTGTGTATGTTTGCAGCTCAATGCCAAGCTGCACCTTCCATATACTTGTTTTTAGAACTCATTTAAGCCACACCTGGACATCTCACTCGTGGATGTTCAAAGTTGTTTTATCTCCTATAAAAGGTGAAATGTCAAGGTTAAACTATAGGTAAAAGAAAATACAGAATGTCCTGGCAAATGAATGTTGCTCAAGTGTTATGATCAGTTTCACGATTGTTTCACTGAAAACTGAACATATCAGTTTGGATTCCAGGCTACCTGTTTCTATTGCCTGTTGAAAATGAGTGAAGGACAACAACCAATCAGCCCTTGGTACTGTTGTGAAATAACCTGTTGTCTTTAACATACAGTGCATTTGGAAAGTATTCAGACCCCTTGACTTTTTCCACATTTTGTTACAGCCTTATTCTAAAATTGATGAAATTGTTTTTTCCCCCTCATCAATCTACACAAAATAAGCCCATAATGACAAAGCAAAAACAGGTTTTTAGATTTTTTTTAGAATTTATAAAAAAACAACTGATATCACATTTACATAAATATTCAGACCCTTTACTCAGTTCTTTGTTGAAGCACCTTTGGCAGCGATTACAGCCTCGAGTCTTCTTGGATATGACGCTACAAGCTTGGCACACCTGTATTTGGGGAGTTTGTCCCATTCCTCTCTGCAGATCCTCTCAAGCTCTGTCAGGTTGGATGGGGAGCGTCGCTGCACAGCTATTTTCAGGTCTCTCCAGAGATGTTCAATTGGGTTCAAGTCTGGGCTCTGGCTGGGCCACTCAAGGACATTCAGAGACTTGTCCCGAAGCCACTCCTGCGTTGTCTTGGCTGTGTGCTTAGGGTCGTTGTCCCGTTGGAAGGTGAAGTGCCAGGTTTCCTCCAGACGTGACACCTGGCATTCAGGCCAAAGAGTTCAATCAAGCCATATCTCAGACTGGCCAATAAAAATAAAAGATTAACATGGGCAGTCTGAGATATGGCTTTTTCTTTGCAACTCTGCCTAGAAGGTCAGCATAACGGAGTCGCCTCTTCACTGTTGAGGTTGAGACTGGTGTTTTGCGGGTACTATTTAATGAAGCTGCCAGTTGAGGACCTGTGAGGCATATGTTTCTCAAACTAAAAACTCGAATGTATTTGTCCTCTTGCTCAGTTGTGCACCGGGGCCTCCGACTCCTCTTTCTATTCTGGTTAGAGCCAGTTTGACTGTTCTGTGAAGGGAGTAGTACACAGCGTTGTATGAGATTTTCAGTTTCTTGGCAATTTCTCGCATGGAATAGCCTTCATTTCTCAGAACAAGAATAGACTGACGAGTTTCAGAAGAAAGTTCTTTGTTTCTGGCCATTTTGAGCCTGTAATCGAGCCCACAATTGCTGATGCTCCAGATACTCAACTAGTCTCAAGAAGGCCAGTTTTATTGCTTATTTATTCAGAACAACAGTTTCAGCTGTGCTAACATAATTGCAAAAGGGTTTTCTAATGATCAATTAACCTTTTAAAATGATAAACTTGGATTAGCAAACACAACGTGCCACTGGAACACAGGACTCTGTATGCATATGTAGATATTCCATAGAAAATCAGCCGTTTCTAGCTACAATAGCCATTTACAACATTAACAATGTCTACACTGTATTTCTGATCCATTTTATGTTATTTTAATGGACAACAAAATTGCTTTTCTTTCGAAAATAAGGAAATTTCTAAGTGACCGCAAACTTTTGAACGGTAGTGTATCTAAATAAGATATTTCAGGTTTTTATTTTTAAGAAATGCGCAAACATTTCTAGAAACTTGTTTTCGGTTTGTCATTATGGGGTATTTTGTGTAAATTGCTGAGTATTTGTATTTATTTAATCAATTTTACAATAAGGCTGTAACGTAACAACATGTGGAAAAAGTCAAGGGGTCTGAATACTTTCCGAAGGCACTGTAAGCCCATGCAGCCTGTTCTCCTGTATTGTTTGATCATGTCTATAATCTCAGTCTGCATTTTATGCAATGACCTACATGGCATGTAAGTAGCAGAACACTGAACACTGCACTCTTTATCCAGTCTTGTGCAACACACATTCATTTCTTTCTAGCTTGAAAGAATTTTAAACCTCTCAACGTTCCCGTACTATTACATCTTTCATTATTATTTTAAGCAAAGAGTTTAGAGGTCTTAGAAGTCAGCTGGCAGAAATTCCTCTGAGGTAAAGGAATTCCATTTTTCCCTGGATAGAAAGAAACCTAAAATAAACTCTGTTTTGTATTTTGTTGTGTAGGCTTGTTATTTCTCAGTGGACAAGAGAACAATCCATACTTTAATGTGGATATTGTTTATTTTTTTTGCAACATATCCAATACTTTGTTTCATAAATATTCATTTGAGATTTAATTTTCTCAGTAATATTGGCAAACTTCTTTATAAATTATGTTTCTTCAAACTGGTGGGATGGTATAATTGCCTTACTGTTCTCAATGCCTTCAGGTAACATATGCTGTATGCTGCATACATTAAGACAACTGAAAAGTAGTATGCTAAGGAGATAAAAAACCTTACTTCTGATCAAATTGTAAAATGACCTTATAACATGTACAGTATGTTGTCAAACTGTTTGGACAAGAGACAGGCTGTCATCTGTAAGCTTGACTTTTGATTGGAACCACGTGATTGAAAAGGGCCTGTCTTGAGTAATTGAAATGAAATAGCCGTGGTAGTCCTGTCATGGGTGGCTGTGGCTGAATGATGCTAGATTAATTTTGGATTGTTAGATGTACTTCTCCATACGCATCACTTGTATGTTGGCTAGTTTGGAGAACCAGTGGTTAACGTGCGTGTTACTGTGGCAGGAGGTTTGAATGAAGCCTAGTTTGCTGTAGAGGGCATTCGCTGCTGTCTGCGGTGAGCTGGTTTCCAGGACAACATGAGAGAAGCCACGATCCTTGCAGAACTCCATGACCTTATGAGCCAGTTGGGAGCCAAGGCCTTTTTTGCGGTAGGCGAACGACACAATCAAGTGGGGCACCTCGCCGTAGCTTCCATCTCTCTCATCTTGGCCTATCTCATCGACCCCTCCCAAAGGCCCTCCATTCCAGCTGTCTCCATTTTCGTCCCCTCCCCTCCTCCCCACCACCGCCACCAGCCCAGCCACCTTGGACTTGCCGTTGACCTCAGCCTTCGCCACCCAGAAGCCGTTGTCTGGGTTGTCCAGGAAGCTGGCCTCTATGTCGGCCATGTCTGTGGCCATCCTTCTTAGCCTGTAGCCCTCGTATATTTCATAGCAGCAGTAGTAGATGAGACCAGCCCACGCTCCTCCGAAGAGTAAGGCCATGAAATAGGAGCTTCCACCTAGCACGTAGCCTGCCATAGAAATGCTTAGGGTCACACCGATTTGATCTGGGTGGCTTATGGTCTTGAAGAAAGCTGGATAGACATGTTCCAAAATCCCATTGCGAAACAATGAGATGACGGCATCTTTATCCTCGGCCTGGTACTCCCGGATCGAACACTGCACTGTGAGAAAGAGAAGGGGGAAGGAACGGGGGTGTTTCAGCTCAATGCGACTTATCTGCCTCTTTTTGCAATTATACAATCCTGCTGGATTTGCTTCACAATGGGCTCACATAACAGTTTGTAAAATAAGTCCCTTTCAACATCATTTATACACTAAAAACCAGGTAATTATAGAATACACAAAGTGGCATATGAAATGTATCTTGCCAACTAAAATGAGACTAATAAATCAAACTTTATGTATTTAAGTGATAACATTGAGATACTGTCATCTTTGACAAGAAAGGTCCTAACTAGTAATCAGGACAACGCAAGTAAGTTATGATGAATACAGTTAGGATATAAATCACAGACAACCGGAACAGTTATATGTAAATGAACACAAACTGTGTCACACAGCCTCAGTACATGTCAGTTTTACTATTGCCCCATCAACCATACACTCCTTGTCTAACCAGAAGCTAAAGTCAACTAGCACTAGTAGTGCACACACAGAAAAACAGAATATGACTTACAGTTATTTTTCTGCTCCATTTTGTGTTCTCTGTTCCAATGTTTCTTTTCCTCCTTGTTACTTTCACACTGCTACTCACTTAGGTACAATTCCCCCTCCTCACCTTCTCTTTCTGTGAACTTTAGCCACAGTTTGTGGTAAGTACCAATTCACAAAGCTGCTGCTAATTAGTCTGAGCATGCTCTGTCGCTATTTCACACGTACACACATGCACGCGGCAAAATCCTGTGTACCTCAATGACCTTGTAAGTTGCATATCTCTGTATGTATGACTTCTGAATTGTTTTTATTAATACAAAATTATATCCATGAAATGCAATAATTTGACATTTGCTGAATGTGAAAGTAAAATGATTAGGCAGAATTTCTCATTGAAATAAATCACCATCTAAACTATTGCAAGTTTGTACAAATTATTAAATGTAGGCTTCTGCTTCATTTAAGGACCCATTTAATTTCTCCCTTATTACATTTACATTTAAGTCATTTAGCAGACGCTCTTATCCAGAGCGACTTACAGTTAGTGAGTGCATACATCATTTTTTATACTGGCCCCCCATGGGAATCGAACCCACATCCCTGGCGTTGCAAACGCCATGCTCTACCAACTGAGCTACATCCCTGCCGGTCATTCCCTCCCCTACCCTGGATGACGCTGAGCCAATTGTGCGCCGCCCCATGGGTCTCCCGGTCGCGGCCGGCTACGACAGAGCCTGGATGCGAACCAGGATCTCTAGTGGCACAGCTAGCACTGCGATGCAGTGCCTTAGACCACTGCGCCACTCGGGAGATTAGACCACTGCGCTTTTGTTAATAAAATGATTCATGGAAGGAATTTCTTGGTGTGACAAGCAAAGGCAGTACAGTACCTATAGACTATTATTCACTGTAGACAAGGATACCAACAAATCTGCATTAAGCTACATAGGCTACATGAGGATACAACAGTGAATGTTTGAATGAACAGTATCCCATATAGCCTATGTCTACACCAAACAACCCATTTACATTTGACATTAAAGTGGTTTGAAGGCCCCTGTATTGTTGTGATCTGTCACGCCCTGGCTCTGGGGACTCTAGTATGTTGAGCCAGGGTGTGAGTTTTCATTTGTTTTTCGTTCTAGTTTTGTAGTTCTATGTTGGCCAGTGTGGTTCTCAATCAGAGGCAACGTGTATCAGCTGTTGCTTGTTGTCTCTGATTGGGAACCATACTTAAGCAGCCAGTTTTCCCACAGTGTTTGTGGGATCTTATCCTGTGTAGGTTTGTGTTTTGCACCTTTGGACATCGCGTATCGTTTATTGTTATGTTCGTATAACCATTATTTAATAAATATGTTCACCTTCCACGCTGCGCCTTGGTCCTCTGTATCCGACAATCGTGACATGATCACAGTCCCCTGTATGTCCTATACTGTGTTATTATAGGCCTATCTGAAATATGTGGAGAGAGTGTGATGAATAATGTTGTGTCCCTTGACGTTTGAGCTCCTATGGCCTCATGCAGTGACAGTGTCTTCTGCAATAACCCAATGGCCCTCTGACGAGATTACATTTCCTCTGCTGGTGGAGGGCCCTTACACCTGTTTAAATCAATAGCACCGCCTCATGAATTGCAGAGCGATGGAAGGTCAAGGAACTCTGGAACTTTCTCAAACCTTTTTAGAGTGCTCTTGTGAATTCTGAAATCCAGATCAGTGAACCTTCTGAACCTTCAGCTTTTAATCAAATGTAGGGACTGAATCAAATGTTCCTCTGTTTATATAAGAGGATGGATGGTATGGTGTGGTAATATCACACTGGAGCGAATACTGTTTCATTCCACGTGTTCATGTAATCATTACATTACCTGAATATAATGTTTGGCAGAAGAAAGTAGCTGAACAGACAGACCACATCTTGCAAACCTACTATACAGATCATCCATGACCAACTTACAGGTCTGTGACTTTTGTCATTGAGAAATACAACAAATCACAATTTATTCTTAAGGTCTAATGCAGCTATTTTTAAAATCTCAAAATCAAATCATTTCTGGGTAACAATTAAGTACCATACTGTGATTGTTTTAAATTAAACGGTCAAAAATAAACAAAAATAGCTTCTTAGCAAAGAGCAATTTATCAAGCAAGAATTTAGCTAGAACTGCCTGGGAGTGGCTTCAGTGGGAGGGGAAGTGAAAGTAAATGGACAACTGTCAGAAAAATAAATCTAGAAAGAAGCACGAGACAAGGCTGCTCATGATCCATGCTCCTCTTTGCCCTCTACATCGAACCAATTGCCCAATCCATAAGACAGAGTACAGATATTACAGGGGTGAACATCAGAGGAACAGAACACAAACTATCACTGTATGCAGACAACGTCTTAATCTACATACGCAACCCCTCATCTTCCCTACCAAAGTTAATGACACTTGTAGAAATGCTGGATATAAAATAAATATCAACAAGACTCAGATTTTTGCATATAACGATACCCCTACAGAAGAGATAAAGGCACAATATAACCTGCAATGGAACACACAATCAATAAAATACCTTGGGATCAACTTGCCGAAAGACCTTTCAAAACTATACAATATCAACTACACACCACTAAATAAAAAATTCATATCTAGATGGAACATGCAACCCCTAGATTTGACACCCAGAATGAACACAATAAAAATGAATATCCTACCAAGGCTTTAATTCCTTTTTCAATCTCGGTAACACTTTATTTGGATAGTCTGTAGAGCATCTACAGATGGACTGTCAGCAACATTTCAGCTAACTATCTACTAACCCTAGCTCTAACCATAACCTTAACCCTTACCCTAACCCTAAACTTAACCTAACCCTAGCTCTAATCCTAACCTTAACCCTTACCCTAACCCTTATTCTAAACCTAACCCTAACCTTAGCAAGCAGGTACTTATCAACAGATACAGTGAGCACTAAAAGTATTGCGACAGTGACTATTTTTGTTGTTGTTTTGGCTCTGTACTCTAGGACTTTGGAATTGAAATCATACAATGACTATGAGGTTAAAGTGCAGACTATCAGCTTTAATTTGAGGGTATTATCATCCATATCGGGTGAATCGTTTAGAAATTACAGCACTTTTTGTACATAGTCTCTCCATTTTAGGGGACCAAAAATATTGGGACAAATTCATTTATGTGTATTAAAGTAGTCAAAAGTTTAGTATTTTGTCCCGTATTCCTAGCACGCAATGACTACATCAAGCTTGTGACTCTACACACTTGTTGGATGCATTTGCTGTTTGTTTTGGTTGTGTTTCAGATTATTTTGTGACCAAATTAATGGTAAATAATGTATTGTGTCATTTTGGAGTCACTTTGATTGTAAATAAGAATAGAATATGTTTCTAAACACTTCTACATTAATGTGGATGCTACCATAATTATGAATAATCCTGAATGAATCGAGAATAATAATGAGTGAGAAAGTTACAGATGCATAAATATCATACCCCCCCCCAAAATGCTAACCTCCCCTATTATTTTAATGGTGAGAGGTTAGCAGGTCTTGGGGGCATGATATTTGTGCGTCTAACTTTCTAGTTCATAAAGATTACTCCATATCACTCATATAAGTAGGATAACAAACACAATCAATATATGGAACAAGACCAAAAAGCAGAACAACCTCGACAATTAAACAGCTACCCTATGATGGCCAGCATTTGACACCAACTTCAAAGAATTATGATAGAAAAACACGGTACGCTTTTTTATAACCCCAAAACTTCAGAATAAAAATTTCACTAAAAATACATGCTGGAGAAACTGCAGACAAACAGAAGCCAACCATTCACAAATCTTTTGGACATGCCCTACAATAGAACCTTTCTGGACAGACATACAGTGGGGGAAAAAAGTATTTAGTCAGCCACCAATTGTGCAAGTTCTCCCACTTAAAAAGATGAGAGAGGCCTGTAATTTTCATCATAGGTACACGTCAACTATGACAGACAAAATTAGATTTTTTTTCTCCAGAAAATCACATTGTAGGATTTTTAATTAATTTATTTGCAAATTATGGTGGAAAATAAGTATTTGGTCAATAACAAAAGTTTCTCAATACTTTGTTATATACCCTTTGTTGGCAATGACACAGGTCAAACGTTTTCTGTAAGTCTTCACAAGGTTTTCACACACTGTTGCTGGTATTTTGGCCCATTCCTCCATGCAGATCTCCTCTAGAGCAGTGATGTTTTGGGGCTGTCGCTGGGCAACACGGACTTTCAACTCCCTCCAAAGATTTTCTATGGGGTTGAGATCTGGAGACTGGCTAGGCCACTCCAGGACCTTGAAATGCTTCTTACGAAGCCACTCCTTCGTTGCCCGAGCGGTGTGTTTGGGATCATTGTCATGCTGAAAGACCCAGCCACGTTTAATCTTCAATGCCCTTGCTGATGGAAGGAGGTTTTCACTCAAAATCTCACGATACATGGCCCCATTCATTCTTTCCTTTACACGGATCAGTCGTCCTGGTCCCTTTGCAGAAAAACAGCCCCAAAGCATGATGTTTCCACCCCCATGCTTCACAGTAGGTATGATGTTCTTTGGATGCAACTCAGCATTCTTTGTCCTCCAAACACGACGAGTTGAGTTTTTACCAAAAAGTTCTATTTTGGTTTCATCTGACCCATATGACATTCTCCCAATCCTCCTCTGGATCATCCAAATGCACTCTAGCAAACTTCAGACGGGCCTGGACATGTACTGGCTTAAGCAGGGGGACACGTCTGGCACTGCAGGATTTGAGTCCCTGGCGGCGTAGTGTGTTACTGATGGTAGGCTTTGTTACTTTGGTCCCAGCTCTCTGCAGGTCATTCACTAGGTCCCCCCGTGTGGTTCTGGGATTTTTGCTCACCGTTCTTATGATCATTTTGACCCCACGGGGTGAGATCTTGCGTGGAGCCCCAGATCGAGGGAGATTATCAGTGGTCTTGTATGTCTTCCATTTCCTAATAATTGCTCCCACAGTTGATTTCTTCAAACCAAGCTGCTTACCTATTGCAGATTCAGTCTTCCCAGCCTGGTGCAGGTCTACAATTTTGTTTCTGGTGTCCTTTGACAGCTCTTTGGTCTTGGCC